CACACCCACACCCACACTCACCCACACCCCATACCCACACCCATACCCACCCACACACCCACACCCACACCCACACCACCCACACCTACACCCACCCCACACCCACACCCCACCCACACCCACACCCACACCCAGATTCAATCGACTACAACCATTGACGAATTATAACAGTGATAGTCTAATCAACGAATCTTTTGCCGAATCAAGCGATAGATTATTCAATCGATGTAACCAAAAATCCAAGCAATATCAAATTACATCAAAACAGTTGCATATCGAGGCTAGTTGCATGTATGATTTCTATCAACAAATTGAATGACTCCATCTAAATACAGATCAAATAGTGCACGCGACTCTCTACCGAGGACAAGCTATATCAAAGTGGGAATTTGAAAAGCTGCAGCAGAATCTGGGGGGTTTTGTGTCTTTCAACAATTTTCTATCTACGAGTATTGATTCGAAAGTCTCGTATTTCTTTGCAGAAAGTGCTCAATGCACTTCAGATTCAGTTGGAGTTCTCTTTCAAATGACAATCAATATAACCTCCTCATTCAAGCCGTTCACCTCGTTGAATAGCATTAGCCATTTCGATGTTTCAGAAGAAGAATAAGAAATAGTGCTCCTGCCACATACCATCTTTCGTGTTGCAGAGATGCAATATATTGCTGACCGATTATGGCAAGTGAATCTCATTTTATTCGATGACTGCAATAAGAAATTCAAGTCTTGTTTCAAGCAACGCAGGCAATATATGACCAACGAATCAAGAGGACTACGTAAACTATGCTCAGTGATGATTACTATGGGAGAGTATGAGAAAGTCGAAGAAATCTATAAGGTATTACCCGAGACAGAGCATGACGACAATGGGGAAGAATTTGCTTATCTTTGCAATCAGCTTGGATGTATAAAAAATGTCGAGGACGATTATAATAGCGCACTCTTATACTATCAAAAAGTACTTGAAGTTAGAAACAACAATCTTTCAAATAATTCCCTCGAGTTAGCTGGGCTCTTTAACAACATGGCTATGGTGTATAAATCATTAGGAGACTATCCAACCGGAATCGCATATCTGAAAAAGGCACTTGATATTCAAAAAAAACTCTCTGATCTGCGTTTATCCGGATTTGGTCATAACCTATAATAATCTTGGTCTAATATATAGTGCTACAGGAAAGTATACGGCGGCACTTTCATATTTTCAAAAAGCAATTGAAATTTAACAAAACTTCCGAATACCACCATACCCTTTCTTAGTCTTAGTATACATAAACCTTGCTCAACTGTATTATTTGTTGGGAGACAATTCCAATGCGCTCACGTATCTTGAAAAGATACTGGAAATTCTTCTACAGAAATCTTCGTTCGCATCAATCGAACTGGTTGAAATTTACAATAAAATTGGTGTAGTGTATCAGTCAATGGGAAATAACATGGCTGCTCTGTCAAATTATCAAAATGCTTTGCAAATTCAGCACATCTATTATCCATTGATGCATCTTGATATGGCCAATACGTATGATAATATCGGTCGTTTATATAGTACTGCAAACAATTACTTACCTGTATCATCTCATCTTCAAGACGCATGGAAAGTTCGACAGAAAATTGAGTCATGAAATCATTTGTATCTAAGCAAAGTTCTCAACAGTTTTGAAGATCTTGACTGTTCCAATAGGTTTTGTAGGCATCTATCGTTTAACGACAGTAAAACATCTATAGTCTGTCCCGATGATAGTACATTTCACCTCTCTGAACCCCCTACTATCGACACAAACACCGATTTGGCGCGTCAAGATATGAAAAATTATGCAATAATATTTGATACATATGAAAAAAGACTTTCTTTTCATAAGAAAGCAATTGACACTTCACAAAAATGTTTGGTTCCACTATGTCTTTTATTAGCTGATTCCTATAACAACTCCGATTCGGCTTATTTCACTGTGACCGATTATTCGAACGCTCTATCGTATTATGAAACGACACTTGGAAGAAGAAAAAATGTAGTAACTTTAAATAATCAGTCGATCGGCGTTTCTAATAAAAATCTTTGTTTGCTGTACAATACCATGAGTAATTATTCCGAAGCACTTATATTTTACAAAAAAAAGCACTTGCAATACGCCAAAAAATGTTACCACATAATCATACTGACTTAATCACGTCTTTTAACAATATCAGTAACGTGTATAAAAAAATGGGAAAGCATTCAGAAGCTCTCTCCTATTATGAAAAAGCTCTCAATGTAAGCCAAACAACATTACTTCAAAATCGTGCTCGTTCGATTACATTTTTCAACAATGTCGGTGATATGCATGAAAAAATAGGCAAGCACTCGAAAACATGTTTGTTCTCGAAATGTTTTCATGACGCTTTACAACGTTCACCACCTTCTAAATCAAGAACGCCTCCTACAGACCATCCCAAAAGTCGACATTGTAAAAAATCGAAAACGATAAAAAATAGTTTTCTATGATTTGACTAAACTAAACAGTTGAACATACATTGTATCAGAAAATTTCAGCAGCGTGTATGAAGTAGAAATTCCACTTGTAGTACGTTGAACAGATCAATCTCTAGAATGTAGGTATAGATATGGGTATGGATGCTTTGAGATCAATATGACACCCTCGCACCTTCGTACACGGACATCCACACTCTCAACAGAAAAGCTTGGTCATGCAAGACACTAATGATAATTTCCGAATGATTTTTTATGTTTGTTGAGTTTCGAGAGAAATATTCTACTTGCTTATGGGTGTGGGTGCAAGTGGAATGTGGTTGTGCTTAGGTGATATTGCTAAGTCAATCCACACCCGCATCCGCATCCTATATGAATTGTGTTAAATCTAATAAACATGATGAATAGTATGAAAAGTTGATTTTGAATATAGATTCTCATCATGAAATATTGTTAATAATAATACAAATGGCATAAAAGAATAAGACAAAGCAATAAACATGTATGATAATAATTTAATAGACCATGCTCTGGAGTATAGTTAAATTGAAAGATATTCAAGAAATGAAATAATAAATTCTAATGAAATTAATGAACGTCAAACACAACCACTTAACAGTAAAACATTTTCTACTAATTTTAATGGTAACAAATGAGCATGGCTTTCAGTCGAATTAGTTTCCAATAAAATAGGTAAAAAGAAAAACAAATGAAACCCATCGAACAGCTGCGTAGCCAGGATTTAGTAGGAAAAGTGGTCAGTTGATCTTTCTGAATCACTAGGTTAGACTACGAAAAGATACAAACGATCAAAATGACACCACCTAGATCTTTACACATGCTTATATGTCAGGATTTTTCAATAGTAGACTATTGGTATCATTTGAAATAAATCCATGAACAGTTGCCTCATGCCCATAACTTGACTACGCCACTGGAAATGATATAAGAGTTTGATTTAGATTTTTAATGTTAAATTCGTTTTCTAATTTGTTTTAATTGATCGGAATAAGTTTGAATAGATTCTCCGTTTGGAGTTTGACAACTTAGTTTTGGAGTATCCTGGCCGTGAAGTATCAAAATATAATTTTTAAAGCTTACTACTAAGAAAGCAAAGAATAAAATTCTTTCTAATAATTGAATATTGTCATCATCTTATATCAATAATAAATCCAACTTGAACAAAACTAGGCTAATATAAGAATCATTTGAAGGATGTGCTTATGAGTGTGGGTGTTCAACAAAGAACAACACTGATGCCAACAGTCACACCCATCCACATACACACCCACATCCCACACCCACACCCACACCCCACACTCCACACCCACACACCTACACGCACACGCACACGCACACCCCACACCCACATCCACACCCACACGCACAACCACATCCACACCCACACACCCACACTCACCATCCTGACACCCACACCCACACCTACACACCCACACCGACACCCCACCCACACCCACATCGACACCCACCCACACCCCACGAAAAGCATGAAGTGAGACGATATGAAATTGGTGACACTAAAGGAACAGTAGTTGCAGGTGAAAATGGACAAGGAAGTCGTTCCGATCAACTCTTTAAGCCTTGGTATGTGTTTGTCGATCGAGATCACTCAGTGTACGTATCTGATTCGGCAAATCATCGTGTAATGAAATGGGAAGAAGGTGCAAAACAAGGCATTGTTGTAGCTGGTGGTCAAGGGCAAGGAGATAGTGTTACACAGTTGTCGATGCCTGAAGGTGTCGTTGTTGATCAATCGGGCAATGTCTATGTGGCTGATTGTTATAATCATCGGATCATGCGTTGGTCAAAAGGAGCCGCACAAGGAAGTGTAATTGCTGGTGGAAACGGTGAAGGAGGGCAGTCGAATCAATTGTATTATCCCAATGGTTTATCCTTTGATCGACATGGCAATCTCTATGTTGTTGATCAGAACAATAATCGAGTGCAAAAATTTAATATCGATTTAAATTCATAGTTTGTTGTTATCGTCATCTTTGTTGACAGTTGAACACTTTACGACGAACTGCAAAAAAAAATGTTTTTCTTTATTGCCTACAATTCTTTTATCTTGATTTCGAAATGTATCTAAAAAAGAAGAATAACGAAAAATAGGAAAAATCAAAATAATGAATTCTAATGAAAGAAAAATGGGTCATTTATTTAATTCATTGGTTAGTCCTAATGATGAATAATGAGAAAGAAAAATTACACTGTCAGTTTAAAAACAAAAATAAACAAAATATGCATAAAAAATAATTAAATAATTGGAGCGATGTGACTGAATTCGATGAATTTAGAATGCTTCGAATGGTTGAAAAGAATTCATGAAAGTCATCGTATTCTCAGGATTCGTAGAATCCGTTAGTTTTACAGAATTTTTAAAACATATGATGACCTAGCAACCATTTTAACATATATTCGCAATGGTAAGCTATTCATGTCATGTTATAATATCATTTTTGTCTATTTTCTATTGAAATAACCAATAGTATCTTTACATAAATCATAGATAATTTGAAAATGGAGAAATTCAAATTAGATTAGATACGACGAAGAGATGAATATTAAACAGACGGGACAGATAAATATTCAACGATGCACATATTTCAAAATATACATGAAACAGGCCTCGCAGCGGTCCTGATTTCCTGATTTTTCGTAGTCGTCCTGATTCATCCTGATTTTGGTACAAGATCCTGATTTCCTGATTTTTTGGTGCTTTTCGAAATTAAATAATTTCTCTAGAAAATCTCGGTTTAGTCTCAGTAGAGGCGTTTCAGAAATTGTGTCTTGAATTGATGAAGATACTATTTTTCAATGATCGCGTTGTTCATCTTGTTTGAAGAATAGATAAAGTTCTTTATGAACTGAAAAATGTCGGTGAATATATGAAAAAATTCATCTTTATTTTTACAAGATTCATACGAAATCTTGTATCATTATTCAGTAAGAAAAGAAAAGAAAAGACAGGCACAAGTTAGTTAGTTAGTAGATCTGGAAGTCGAGAGTCCGATGGAGAATCAACTCTCTTCGTTGGATTTCCGTCGGCGAATCTCACGAATGAACTTCTCAAGGTGTCCGCTTGCTTTTGACCTGATATTTTGGCTATATCTTGGGACCTCTGGACTAGAATAACCTTAACTTGGCTCGCTTACCTGGCCATTTGGGCTTGATTTATCATGCATTTTGGACTTATGACACTAGGTTATCTGGAACAACAAATATGTGGATTTCGCCCTGAAATTTTGTCTATAAATAAATCTAATGGCCACGAGGATACCTTAAAAGGTTGAGACAAAACGAATGCATCCTTGAGATACTTAGGCCAGTCCAAAAGTAGTTAGAGTAACGCTTTAATGCCATATAGTAAACTGAAGAAGACTTTCTTTTATTATGAAACGATAGAGAAAAAATTGCTCTATCTTTTTATGCTATTTGATCATACTTTAGTTAATATTATGATAGAAAAGTTTTCATAAGATTCGTTTTGGTATTATATGTTTTGGTTACGACACTACATATACTCATCGATATGAGTTCGATTCTTAATTTTTTTTTCTTTATTCTGCTCCTTTCTTTCTCTTATGTTTTTCTTTATTATCTTTTCTATTGCCAGACATCTTTCTGTGTGTATTAATACACATGTCTTTTTCCTGTCTGTAAAGAAACTTTGTCCAGTAACGTGTTTGTAGGAAAGTTTGTGATATAGTGACTTAGTGGTCACGTGCCTGCCCACGTGACTATCCGTTGTCCAGTGTCACATGAACATTCTAGAACTTTCTATTGTAGTCTTATCCTTTCGATCATATCAAAGTGTTCTCGCGCAATGTTCTGGAATGTTCCATTTCAGATACTATATATACCCCTCTTTGTCACTGTATCTCTCAGTTGTTCTATTTTCTACTTCTCAGTCAGTTACTCTATACAGTCATATTTGTTATTTATTCACGTGTGAACAAACAAACTTTTCGAAATCCTGATTTCTGCTCGATAACGAACTCGGATTGAAGACGTGGCAAAGTTGAAGAAATATAGTCAGAGTCAGCCTTAGAATAGCTGATTTCTGTTACTGATGGATAAGGAAAATTATCGTTTCTACATTAAAGTGCGTACCGCACTTGGTATTTCACCAACCATTATTCGTGATGAATTAACCAGTCTTCGGCGACGAAGCTCCATCCTACACGACTGTTGCAAGATGGGCTCAATGGTTCCGCGAAGGTTGAGAAGAGATCGAAGATGAAGCGCGACCAGGAAGACCAGTGACCGAGACGACTGATGAAAATATCGAATAAATTCGCGACACTATTAATGACGACCCGTATGTGACAATTGAGGAGCTGCAAAAAAATACTGGTCTGAGTCATGGGACTATTCATAGAATAATCTCAGATCATTTGAAACTCAAAAAACTTACGGCTCGGTATATACCCAAACACCTGACCGCTTCTCAACAGGCTGAACGAGTTCGAATATGTAAAGAAAATTTAGCAAAATTCGAACAAGGAACGTGGAGATTATGCGATGTTGTGACGAGGGATGAATCTTGGTTTTATCATAAACAAATTGGTCGGAAAGCATCGAATGCTGCTTGGGTGGCAACGGGAGATCCCCCACCGACAATTGTTCGACGTAGTCGTTTTGCTCCGAGAACATCGTTATGCATTTTTTTAAGTCAACAAGCCCCGTTTTTATCCATCTTATCGAATCTAGGCAGACTATCGACCACCAATATTACATAGAAAATTGTTTGCAGCCCCTCATCTACGAACTCAAGAGCCAAAGACCTTCACCTGGAACACATGCTGTGAAAATTCACTATGACAATGCTAGACCGCATAGACATAGAGCCGTGTCGGATTATCTGCAATCACAAGGCTTCACAATAGTACCACATTCACCCAATTCTCCAGATCTAGCACCTTGTGACTTCTGGTTATTCGACTTGATCAAACAAAACATAGGTGATCAAAGCGATTCCGACTCGTTACATCGTGCTGTGATAGACTTCATATACTCTTTGGATAAAAAAGAGTATAAAAAAACGTTTGATCAATGGATTGAACGGATGAAACTGTGTGTAGATAATGAAGAAGATTACTTTGAGCATTTAATGACAAGTAACGTTCATCGTCAAGCGATTCACTTAGCCCTAGACTGATAGAATACATGTACGGATGCAATAGCATAAAAAGCTACATTAAAAAAGTAATACGCAAAATTAATAATATAACCAGTATATCTTAGGCTAGCAGAAAACTTAATTCGGAGAATTCTCACTCTAAGTAAAGATAATGCATTTTACAAATTGAATTTTTTTTGTCGCTTTTGTTTTATTATTTTTTTGCTTTTATCAATATAAATAGCGCTCAATAAGATTAGACAAGAATACGATTTTTTTTGTAATTATATTGGCGCTATTTGTACGTACAAAAATATGAATTATATTATTCATAAAATTTGAGTTTTATTAATCAATATTTTATGCTTCAATTCGCGCATTAATTCTAAACTATTAATAAATTAGATATTCATTGATACAACATTGCACAATCAATCCTACAATAATGAATAATTTAAACGATTTCTTTAAATCCATACTGCTCATTTGGTCTGACTCTGACTAATTAAATGCTTTTGTAAGCCGTTTTACACCACTACTCGAATTATAGTTATTTCATTGACACATTTTATCGATGATTATTATGGGTTCATTTACATCAGTCTTTAGATGGTCATTTGAGCCATAGTTACCGGAATAGTTGTTTGTACCATGGTTGCTATATGGTCACCTGTGCCATAG